CAGAGCTTACTTGAAGGGGAGTTTCTTGCTCATGTACTGTGCAAAGCTGTCTCTTCACCCCTTCCTACTGCAGATGTTTCCAAGAGCTGGGAGAGTCCATCCCCTGTTTGCAGACGTCCTTGCACTTCCAGGGATTTCTGACACGTGGCTTTCATTGACGCTGTAACAAGAGCCATGTGAACAGGCTGAAGGTTTGGTTAAAACCTTTTAACCTCTCCAGCTCTTGGCTGATAGGAATTTGTTTGGCTCCTCAAGTATTGGTGTCCTGTTGCTGTGGGGTACCCTGTCACTGTGGGCCCCTAAAACTGATGGGACAAGTTTGCAAAAAGGGCCCTAAGCACCAGGTTGTTGTTGTTATTAATGCATTGTGCGTGGGCTTTACAGAAGCTAAAAGGAAAATGGAGATTTAGAGTTGGATAAGATGTGCATTTAGTGGGTGCTGTGTATGACTTTGATTTACAAGTTGTTGTTCAGCCCTGAAAGCTGTGACCTACAGGAAGACCATTTAAACCGAAAAGAATGAGCCGGCTAATGAACACAATAGGGTTGGAAAGCCCAAGTGGAAGAGATCCTGCTTACTGCTTGTTGTTTCTTGGAGCCTGGTCCCAGTGACAGGGAGGGAGGAGTTGCTGTCGCAGTCCTGTCTAGCAAGCGAGGTTTGTGTTGGACAGAGCAGCAGAGGGAGATCCTCCTGGACCAAGGAGGAGAGAGCTTCCCCCGTTGCTGGCTTCCAGGTGAGCTGCTGAGTTAGATACTAATAATGATATTCAGAGAGCTCCTGTAGCTTCTTGATCAGCATCACCAGATAATGGCAGGGTTGGAGTAGGAAATACATTTTGTTGGCTTCATTTCTCTTGTGTAACTCTGTTCTCGACTTCCTATCTGAGACCTGTACCCTCGCTTTGCTTTTAGTGAGTTTCTTGGAACTTGTTGGTGTTTAACTGGGGAGTCTGACTAGAACAAGAAGATTCTTCTTCTCCAGAAACAGCAGATCCAAATGACACAGGCATAGACCAGCTCGGTAGGTGCCTGTAGGCTGAGGAATTCTGGGCATTTGGGTGGCTTTCCCCTAAGCTGTAAAAGCTGCTTGGAGAGCAGGTAACTCCAGATGTCAGGTCTTAGAGAGCAGTACCATCAGTTGATGTCTTGTTTGGGCTATCCTGAGATACTCCTGGGATCTAAGACAAGTTGCTCATCACTACCTTTTGCCTTCTGAAGGGCTGGTGACTAGATACCTGCCTGGGAGGATCGGAGATTAGTCTACTTGGACTACTCTGGATGTTTGGCCATCTAGTTAATGGGTCCATCAGACCTGAAGCTAAGAAGAATGGGTTTAGCTTGATCATGGTGACTCTTGGCTTCTCTGAAAACCTAGTGCCCAGAAGTCTGTTAGCTGCACTGTAGGAGAATTGGTGGCTTAGTTATTGTTTTATATGTGGGTTATGAAGGTCATGTAAAATACCAAGTTTCTACAGCATGGCCCTAATGAAGAAGAAGGTGAACCTTCTGGAAGTTCCTCACTTAAATCCTATATTTTTGAATCATTCAGTTCATGCTAAAGAATAATAATGCTTCTGCCTGCACTGCTCTGCTTGGAGCCTGTAATTAGGCTGTTTCCCTGAGATAGGGTAATTACCGTAGTTTGGCAGCCCTGCCTGTCAGACACCTAAAATGAATGGAGCATATAAAGTCCCATTAAAATTTTGGCTTTACAGGGAACACAATGCTACTCCAAGAGTCCAATGAAGCCCCCCCCCCCCCAATCCAAGTCAGTTTTTGAAGGTGTTTGCTCTTGCAGTGAAATACGGTGAGTCTAGACGTGGCTTTAAATCCTGCTGCCTTGTTTGTTCAGCCTCGGGTAGCCTTCCTGCCTTTCTTTGCTCGAGCTTCACTGCTGAAGGGTTTGCTTATCCCAGCCATGTTGCAGAGGTGTTTGTGAGAGCTAATGTAACCTGTATTTTGATCATTAACTAACAGCTCTAATAAAGACTGCTAGTGTGCTGAAACTCAGGCTCCAGTAGGACTAGAAAAACATCTTCGATCTTTTGTGAATACACAAATTTCTGCGCTTGTAGAGTTGAATTCAGCTATTCTGCTTGGCACATTGCACATGCCTGTCACAAACATGTCAGCAGCACAAGATCTGTGTGTTACAGCAGTCTGCCAAGCATGAAACCAGAATATAAGTTGTGTTTCTAATTTAATTTTTTCTCATACCCATGAAAGGAGAGATATACATATCACAGACGTTGTTGGTGATAACCCCCTATAGTCATCTCCGCTTACTAAACTGAAAGGCTCTTTTAAAAATGTAACTTGTTGGTTCCTAATCTAACTGCTTTACTGTCTTGTGCTATTAAGCATTGAAATTAAAATGGTGGTCTTATTTTCTGCTTATGATTGTCTTTATGGTTCACATGGATGGAGCCCTGTTTTCTCCCCCCCCCCCCTTTTTTATTTAAAGTCTTTTGTAAAGATTGAAAGCTCTAAGCATCCTTACAGTCTAATGTTTTTCAGTTTTTCAGGTGAAAGGATGTAATGCTATACCCCTAATGGAGCTCCTTTTGAGGTACTATCTTGTACAAGATTAAGAGTAACACGAGCTTGAAAGTCAGGCATTTGCCAAAAAAAAAATATTAATGAAGAACATGTGAGGCTGAGGAAGCTTACACAGCTGGGCCCAAATGCCAAGAGAAGGCAGCTCAGGGGCTACTGTGTGTCCCTTTCTCCCCAGGAGCTGGCTGATTGTCATGATTTAACCCCAGCTGGCAAATGAGCCCTGCACAGCCGCTCGCTCGTCCCCCAGTGGGTTGGGGAGAGAATCGGAAGGGTAAAAGTGAGAAAACTCATGGGTTGGGATAAGGACAGTTTAATAGTTGCTGGGAGCACTGTGGACTCGGTTGCTGCTAACCTTTTCGGTTGGGAATGGTATTTACGTTACTGTCCTTTCTGTGCCCATCACAGGATGGGCCTCTTGAACATGCCCCACATGTTGTGCTGTGCATGTCCTGTTCAGCTAACTTCCTCAGGAGCTGTTCCAGCTCCAGCCTGCTGAGCCTAGTGAGCAGGTTGGGGGTGATTCTGTTCATAAGAGGGGTTTGTATGATCCTGCCTTAACTGCTGCTCTGTCCTAGTTCAGATCAGCTTCAGACCAGGCAGAGGTAATGCTGGCTTCCAGGACCCACAAACCGGTGCAATTTTGCCACAGAGATTTGTCAAAGAGTGTTGACTCTGAAGTCTAATGAGAACCAAAGTGTCAATAATAATCCCTCTTAATGCAGCTGCTTTAGCAGAAACTGTAGGTTCTTTATATGAGCACTGGTACTCTTTTCTTTCTGCTGACATTAGACCTTTAGCAAAGCTTTGAAGTTTGAGAGCTTTTATGTTCTTCAGTCATTCTAGAAGCTGAGCCTGATCTGTCAGGCCTGTTACTTCTGAAAGAGCCGTAGAAACGGTGCAGGCAGAGCAATAGTGATGGCTGAGGCTGAACAAGTTTCACAGTTCATTTCAGATAAGCACTCCAGTTTGACTTGTCTTTGCAGCTGCTTAGACTTTCTCTGTCAGCCTTGTCTGGTACCAAATAAAAACTTCTTCCTGGGTGTGCTTTAGGCTTTTCTGGTTGGTGGCACCCAGAAATCTCAGCTTAAAGTTTGGCTGAAGAGTCTGAGTAGCTTTCAGTGAGCGCAGGATGTGTTGGGACTAAGTCTCATGCACACACACCCCGACACCAGCTGTGGAGGAGAAGCGTACTTGGGACCTCAGTGCTACCAAGAGCTGAGGATGACTGAAAGTCCACGGCATATGACTTGCTGGATCTTATTTTGCAAGCTTATTTCCTTATTCTCTTGTGTGGTTTCTTTTAGGGCTTTACTTAACCCCACCCCCCTTTAGCCTTCAGAGTGTTTTAATGAAGCCCATATGTCCTATTCTTTCGTTCCCCTGGGGCCTAGGCTGACAGCCCAAAGTTTGCAATAGGAGTTTGACACTGGGGTCAACAAGAGTGGGGTCACTGCTCACTCCTTTGCTCAGGTTGTCTTTGTGCCCCTTCAGACCCCCGTCACATTTGGCCAGTCCTGGGCGTGCTGGAGAGCGTGAGCAGGGCAGTGAATTTCCAGCATCACCTGCAATTTTCCTTCTCCCAGCACAGCAAAGCATGGCTGGATGCCTGGCTTGGGCTTGACGGACTGATCCCGAATGAGAGCATTCTTTATTGCAGGTTTTACTGAGTTCAGCGCACGGTGTGTCAGCCCTGGGAAGGCCATGCATGCAGGGGTTTGTAGATGCTTCCTGTTTATAGATAGGCTGTTTATATTGAACATACCCCAGGTGTCTGCTCGCTGCTGGGTTCTGCTCCAGCAAAGGGCATAGCAGCCACTGGGAAAAGTGAGTAATTTGCAAAGGCAACTGCGTGGTCCCACAGGAGCTATTAATGCCCTTGGTGGGACTCTCAGTGCTTGGACTAACTGTTTGCCTGTGCGCAGACATGTGGAGTTCTTATAGCACCAGGTACTAAAACATCAGTGCCTCGCTTTTTTTTTTTTTTTTCCTTCTTTTCTTCTTTTTTTTATTTTTGGATGAAAGGATGACTTTGCATCTTTCTTCAAAGCAGCAGTTCATTGGTCTCCTTTTGATCCTTAAGCACTTACCCCGAGTCCTGTCGCAGCACTGAGGGATATTTTGCATGGCAGCGCTAGTCTGAATAAGCTCAAAAGGACAGGAGTGGTGGTAAGTGGGTGTTACAAAGGGGGTGAAGGCACAGGGTTGGTTCTTTGTTGTGTGCAAGACCTGGAGAAACTGGGCGATTTCTGTGCAGATTGCTTTCCTGCCGAGGAAGATGTGTAAGTAACGGGGTCGCTCGGGTTTTAACCTTCACCTAGTGTAAACCTGCGACCTAAGTCGTAGTCCCAGATGTTTCCTTTTTGTAAATGCCCTTTCCTGGTATTTTGGCTGCCTTTTAGGATTTCTCCTCATACCAACACCTCTTTTCCCTTGATTCACAGGCTCACCATTACACAAGCAGGGTACCACCTCCACCGCCAGCGCCGAGAAGTCGGGTTCAAAGGTTGCCGAGGTGGGCGATGATTTCCTGGGAGACTTTGTGGTGGGCGAACGTGTCTGGGTAAATGGAGTGAAGCCAGGTGTGATCCAGTATCTTGGGGAGACGCAATTTGCTCCAGGCCAGTGGGCAGGGGTCGTTCTGGATGACCCAGTGGGTAAGAATGACGGCTCTGTCGGTGGAGTACGTTACTTTGAATGCCAGCCGCTGCAGGGGATTTTTACGCGACCGTCCAAGCTGACGCGGCAGCCAGTGGCCGAGGGCTCGGGGAGTGACGCCCCCTCCGTGGACTCCCTGACGGCTCAGAACTTGTCACTGCACTCGGGGACGGCCACGCCACCGCTCTCCACTCGCGTCATCCCCCTGCGGGAGAGCGTCCTGAACAGCGCCATGAAGACGGGCAACGAGTCTGGATCTAACCTCTCAGACAGTGGGTCTGTGAAAAAAGGGGAGAAGGACTTACGGCTTGGAGATCGTGTGCTGGTGAGTTGATTGCGGGGTCCCCCTAGAAAGGCAAAGGACAAGAATTTGTCCCCTCCCTATGTGCCCCTGGTCAGGTTCAGGACAAGACAAAAAGAGGACAGAGTTGGTGGTGAGGTGTGGGACAGAGCATGGTCTTGGAAGGGGGATGCTGGGACCAAGCAGGCATCGCACTTCTGCATTCACTGCTATTTTGGGATGCTATGTCTTCCAGATATGTCTCTCTCTCTTTTGCATTGATGCAAGACAACGTATTTCAGAGCGTTTCTTGTATTGGACAAGTCCTGAGCAGTAGAATGAAGTCAGAGAGACAGCAACTCAAACATGAGAAGGAAATAGAAGAAAAATCCTTGATATTATTCTCTAATCCAGTGATACTCTCCGTAATGGTCTGTATTGGGGCTTTTGAGGAATTTGCAACAGAGTGTCTTTATGCCTGTGGTTGTACATAATCTGCGAGTGTTTGCAAGAATCTCTCCTGGCTGGTCAGTCCCCTTCTGGTGCTTCAGTTTTTATATGTTGGATATGACACTAACTCCTTTCCTGTACAGAAAGGAACTCACAGTTATTTATATAAAAGGGCAGGACATTGGAAGAGATCAGTGTCCTGATGGATGGGTTCTCCACATCTGATTTCTGTTGTTGTTTTCATTATCTAGCATAGAGTGCCTGATGCCTTTAAGCCCAAATGCCACACTTGCACTAAGAATGGCTTACTGGAAGTTTGACATCAAGCTTGTCATTGTTTGTGTCCTAGCAAAGGAGGAGTGCTTTCAGGGGCGGTGGAGAAGGAAAAGAAAGATATCAAAGCATGTAAAGACTGAGTGTTGCTCTGCCGTTCTGTAAGAGAAGTTTAGTTTTGTTTAGTGGCTATGATACATACTGTCATATCAAATATTGGAAGAGTCAAGCACTGGAGCACAGATCTCCTGCAACTGTATCCCCAGTGATATCCGTGGATCTAAAATATAAAGGTGACCGACCGACAGCCATGGCAGAGTGTTAGTCTTTGCACGTCCTGGGCAATCTGGCTCCCATTTAGTTAGCCATGTAGAGTTTCCTTTTGGGGGCACCTGGTTCCAATACCAATAGTGGTAGTAGGGAAATGTAGACAGACTTGCCATCTGGTTAATGATGGGGAGTTCCACAGCCGATGTGAATCAGGAGTGTGTGCCGTGGGTTGGCAGAGGCAGTCTCAAATGTCTTGGAGAGTGGTTTTTTTCTGCTGACGATAGCAGCAACCCTGGGCAGGCTGAGGCTCAAGCTTCTGGAGTTGATTCCTTTGCTCTCTGCAGCCCCATGGGGACCCTGGGCAGCTGGGCCACGCTGGAGCAGCCCGAGGTGGCCTGGGAGCACCGAGCAGCTGTGGCAGGCCACACGTGTCTTCCAAGTCAAAACTTCACGTGGCACAATCTGCTCTGAGGATTTCAGGATCTGTTGTGTCCAAGTGTCAGGCATCTCTGGCATTACAAATACGCTTTCAAAGCTAGCAATGCACATGCACACTAAAACTGTTGGGTTGTCCAATAGTTTTAATTTTATTTAAATAAAATAGAAACAATTTAAAGTTGGTTCATTTTTGGAGGAGGAAAAGTGAAGAGGGGTTCTGCTTGTGCCCAGTGGATATGACCCTTAGTAAATCTAGCCTGAACATGTGGGCTTGTAGACCTAGCTTGTAGAGGTGAGACAGTTTTCTGTTCTCAGATTTTCCCCAAAATGTGCATTGCATTCTATATCACAGCAGGAGCTGACAGCTGCTCAGGGGTTTGTCACTTGTCTGTCATCTTCCTGACTTCACCACAGTCTGCTTTTCTTCCCTCCCCATCCCTACCATCAGCAAAGCTGCTGCTGCTGTTCCTGCTGGCCCCAGGGGCAGGGGAAGGTGGCAGAGACATTCTCTCGACACACACACTGATGCTGCCTGTTGGTGTGTTAAGGCAGCCACACATGGGGTAAAATGAACCTGGGGAATCTGTCCTCCTTTGATCAGTTTGTTTGCTCCCGTTTTCTCCTTTACCTGTTGCAGGGAGTAGGGAGAGTGCTCAGGTGAGAACTTCCCCTTTTAGGAGCAGCAGTCATAGAAGGTAAACTGCAAAATATAAAATCTGTGGTAAACTTGGCTCTGTTCTTTCTGAGCCAGCCAGGTGATGGAATAGTGTTCTCCAGACTTAATTGTTTAACCTCTCTCTCGTCCTGACTGTAAGCTCACCGAGGCAGGGTTGGCCCACCTAATACTCTGCTTACCTCGGTGGGGCCAGTGCAGATTGAGATTTCACCATACCCATGCAATACCAACTCTTAGCACCTCTCCCCTTGTTTTCTGTTGCATTGGTTTTGGGAGGGTTTGGGGGTGGGTTTAGTTGGGTTTTGTTTGCTTGATTTTAATGAAGGTGGCATCCTTAAAAGCCCTCCCTCCCTGCCTGCTAATTTATCCACCCCAGATGTTATAAGATAAAATTTGTGCTATGATTTGTTAGTGTAATAAATAGCTCCAAAAGAGCGAATCTGCAATGAGCTCAGCATCTCACTGGCTCTAGCAGGAGTGCTCAGCTTACGGAAACATCAGGAATTGTTTGCATGCAGTAGGAGAGGTCCAGGAAAAGAACAGATAATGACAACAAAAAGAAATAATTTGCCGTTACGGTTCAGTAACATGTGCTTGGCTTGGCAGATGGCTTTTTTTAGTAATGGAGATGTCAGCTAATCATGTTTGGTGTTTGAATATATAAACAATAATTCTGGGTTAACCTGAGTTGGCTCAGATTCCCTGAGTAAATCTTTGCTCTTGTCCTCTATGGATTGGTACAGTTTTAGTTGTCTTTATTACTCTTAGTCCGTGCTTTTCTGTAAGATTATCTTTTTATTTGAGAATGGCTTTTAGGCGGATGGGATCCTCCAAAGGCTTTTCAAGAGAGGGAGGACATGTGTTTTCTGTAACTGCTCCGTGGATGGAGCACGAGGTTGCAGGGGTCCCTTCCAGGTCTGTGAGACCGATACCTGGCTGCTTGGCATTCTGGTCATTTCCCACTAGTGGTTTTCTTTAACTTCATTAAACTCCATTATAGCTTGAAGATGTTTTTGCTTTTCAATGACTTTGTCCTGAGACCCTTTCTGACTCTGTACCAGTGGCGAAAAGTGACTTTTAGCTTTCCATTAGAAGCTTTCCATTAGAAGAATTAGATAATATTTGCCTTTGTCACTTTCTAACTCGGACTTTTTCCCAGAGATGTAAAAATCACATTAAAGAGATGAAAAATGCACCCTAATATTGTAGAACTCATCTCTTGAAGTCTGGCACATGAATGTGGAACAGTTAACCTTTGCTTTAGTAAGAATGGAGCTTCCCAAAGCATGATAGTGCTGGAGTGCTGCTGTTAATGTGCGGCTGGCTTGTTGCCTTCCTCCAGGGAAAGAAGGGATGGAAACAGAGCAATGGAGCAGTTGAGCATTTTCTGCTTGGAAGGAATCTCTGCTGTGTTTTTTGCCTAAGAAAATGTATTTTATATGCTTGTGGGGAGGCTTTCTCAGCAGCTGAACTTCTTCCACCCTAGATGTAGTTGCGTTCTTAAGGGTGGGAAGGAAGTGGCTGTTCTCTATGAGTCAATCTAAATAAAAAATAAAAATATTAAGAAAATCATCCTCTTCATAGAGGTATTCTGCCATTTAGCCGTCCTTCTGTCTAACTGGGATTCTACTCTTCAGTACTGAAATATAGTAATAAACAAGACTATTTGAGGGCCAGGTTCTGTCCCATTGACTCTATTGCTGTGGGGTGTTGCCCCAGAGACCCCTTGGATGGATTCTAGGTTTGTGATTTTGCTAGAACTTGTAGGTGGTCAAAAACAGAATAAGTGCTGGAACAGCAGAAGCAGCGATGGAGCAGGGCAATGGAATGGCACCTTAGCTGCCGGACAGGCAGGGCTGCCGTGGTGGGCTGGTTGGGCTGGTGGAAATAGACTCTGGGCTCCCCCTGAGCCTGTGATTTTAATCATTTTCTCTTCTGTACGCTGCAAAGTGGTTTTTGCCTGTGGTGTATTGCAACCTCTGGCTACTGGCAAATGATAGAAAATTCTCATGAATAAACTAATCACGTCTTTTTCTTTAGCATCCCCCTGGCATGCCCCCACCCCAACCCTGCTCTGCCAGCCTGAAGCTGCAGAAAGCCTTTAACCACCTGGGTGAAAAATCATTTCCATTAGAAGCTCCCCAGCGAGGAGAATTGCAGCCTAAGCCCTTCTCCTTGGGCAGAGACAACTACTTGCTCTGCTGCTGCCAGCTCGCTTTGAGCTATTTCTGTGCCTGAGGCTGAAGCCTTGCTGCTGCAAAGGCACATGAGGTGTTATGAAGGAAGGATTCATGCTCTTTATTTTCCTGGTTACCCATCAAAGCTCTCCCAGCTTGCTGCGGTCTTAGAGGTGCAGCAGTGGTCCTGTACGGGCTTTACAGACAAACAGTCACAAGACTTATTTGCTTATTGCAAACCAGGCAGTAAAGAAAGAAGGAACCTAATCTGTAGTTCTACCAAGGTAGTATTTTCAGGGAAGGTGTTTTTAGTATTTCATTGCCTGCTTTCAGCTCCATAAGCAGACCAGCAATTGCTGTGTTGTGACTGGGAGAGAGTGTAGCAGTACGGCAGAGCCCAAGACCTTGTGCAGGGAGCATGGGAATGATGGATCTCTGTCCCCATGGAGGTTTGTGGCAGGCAGTGGAGAAGTGCAGTGTTCCAGCTGTTTGCAGGATTCAAGAGACAGGAAAACGTCTAGGTCTCCTCATCCAAGTTCATTCCTCACCATACAAGATTGTTGCCGTTGTGTGGTGTGAAATACAGCGCGACTGGTGGTGTCACAGGAGCAAGTGTTCCCTGTCACTGCAATGAAACTAAGAGGAAATAAATAGCCCAGAGCCACTGCCCTGCCTGGCTGCCACATTAACCCTTTGAGGTTTTTTGTGCATGCACACGCCCTTCTAACCCTTGATTTGGGCTGATGCATGGGCCAGTCCTT